GGGGGGGGGGTTCAAGGTCTTGTGTAGTGGTGAGTGATGTCTTGTTCGTCGGACGGTAGACGGTTGAGCTACTCTTCTTGCCATCGACTGCTGCTACCCTCCAGATATATATACTCCAACCTCCCTTGTGTGGCTGGCTCTCGTACGTATGCCGTTAGGGATGCCGTTTCATTCGTGACCACCAATGCACTCATTCTCCACCATTCGTCTGTCGCCATTTGCCGGTCCAATCTCATGAAAACTATGGAGCACCTATTCCCGCCATCGCCATCGTGCGTGCGGAGTTTGGCCATCCTCGTTGCGGACATTCTACCTCCCTTTCCTTTTCGGGCCTCTCCGTACGATTTTTTTTATTTCCCCCCTCTCGGCCTCTCGGAAATTTCCAATCGTCATACTCCGCACACCACCGCTGTCGGACTAGCCATCGACAGCTGGGGCTGAGCATCTGTCATAAGTTCCTCGAATCGAATAATTCTTGTTCGGACCATTCACCCGATACCCAGCCGTCCATGTAGCCACATTTACCGCCTCGAAGATGAAACTGTAATTTACCTCGTAATAATCGTCGATGCACAGATGGTCCGCCTTTGCGGGCCAGCCCTCTGCCCCCGCTCCCGGCATAAACTCTATCTCATGGAACAGATAATCGGTGCGCTTGTTGTCGCCGTCTTTGACGAACCAGACGCTCATCTTATCTGTCGCCTCGTCGTACCGCCAAACGTACCGTCTACTGGCTGAGAATGTGAATCCGTTGGACGACGTGAACTTGCCCTCCTCGATGTAGAGATACTCTAGCTGGTCGGGCGACGTCGAGCCAAGAGGTCTGGCTGGAGGAGCATCGCCGGTACATCGGAGGCCGTCTTCTGTCCTTTGGCGCAGCAGGAATCTCGCTTCCCCGGTAAAGGTCCCGGAAGGGTGCGTCGGCAGTTGGCTTTTCAGCTCACGCCTCAGTCTCCATGTTCCCAAGAGACTGCGGAAGACGGCACGGGCGACAGACCTGGGCGTCGTGAGGCCGGTCAGGATAGCCTGCTTGGTCGCCTCGAGCGTCTTGTGCGTCTCATTCCTGGCCTCGAGGCTGTCCGTTTCGTCCGCGTACCTGGCGGGTACCACCATGTCGATCGGTTTACCATTGTCGGCCAACGGAGGCAGCCCCTCGGGAAGTGACGTCTCCATAGGCAGCTCCAGCGCGTCGGCAATGTCCTGGACGATGAAGACGAAGTCTCCCATGGGGAACTGGGAGCATCGAGGATCGTCGCGCAGGTCCAGGGTACGGGAGATGGAGTCGTCAAGGGCGAGCTTCTCCGTCAGTTTAGACGATGTCGGGTGGTCGGGTCTGGTCTGCGGTGGGCTCCAGTACCGGGACAGGAACCTGGCTTGCATCTGCATCACGCCCCAATACGGAGCTCGGTAGTAGCCCACAAAGCCCAACCCAGGTACCTCGGGATGGTGCGTACCATGGAAAGCTAATGCGACGGGCTGGTTGGGATGCCTGGGGGAGTAGCTGAGCTTATCGAGAACAGCCTGCGAGAGGATATCGAGGCCGGACGACCCGTCAAACCCGGCGGCCACAACAATCGCAGCAACGTTCTGCACCTCCTTCTCGACTCCCTCGCAGACTACAGAGGCCGAGGTGCCGTGGAACGCTTCGAGCTTTCCTCGAGAGTGAACAATGAGTCCCTGGCGCGTAAAGTCACAGTACGTGTCGCTGACCGCTACGTATGGCGGCCTGGATCTCGCCATGTCGCGTGCGCCACCCGTGAGCCCGGCGATCGAGGTCTGGTCGATTCCAAGCATGCCTTCCAAGACGCTATGAGCTCTGTACGACGCCGACTCGCTGATGTGACCTTGAGAGTTGACGAGAGGTTGCGGTCTGTTGTTGAGGTTATACGAGGAAAAGTCGATGGGCAGGAAGTGGGGGTCCTTCTTCGTCGGCTGTACGTTCGAGTTAGCCCATTCGTGCCAAGTCTCCTGAGGACCCCATCTCTCGAGGGGTTCAGGCCTAGACAAACCTCGGGGCTGGTCAGATACGGGAACACCCATGCAGGATCCTGAACGATGTGTTCGACCCTGTACTTGTCAACATCACGAATGCCCGAGGCATCTGGTGAGTTTACGGCCGAGGAAAGGTGACAAGCTATGGTGTTGGCAACTTCGACGCCCGACATCTGCCCACCAACCACCAGGATCTTACCGCCACCGGGTTCTCCGCTTCCCAGCAGACCCTCGAGATCACGGTAGGCACTGCTGTGGACGACGGGTATATCACCCATCGGCTTATCGAGGCACCCGGGCACGACAGGATCCCCGAAGAATCCAGAGGCGACGATGACACGGTCGAAGCAGTGCAATCTCACGCCGTCCCCTGTCTCGACAGCAACTTCCCAGCCATCGGGTGAGGGTGCAGCAGAAAGAACTCGGGTGCCCAGGTGCAGATGGAACCGAGGGTGACTGCTGAGATAGCGCTTCGTGTACCTGTGAAGATACTGGCCCACCATCCAGGCCGTGGGCATCTGGGGCGCATCGTCCTCCCAGGCAAGGTCGCTGAAGTGCATCGTGTACCTGCTCTGGTTGGTCACCATGAGGGGGTGGATCATGCGTTCGCTGTCCGTCTTGGACGTCGGCCACAATCCGCCGACGTCATTCTTCGACTCATACAAGGTGACTCTGAAGGCACCCTCGCGGGCATTGTGAAGGAATGTTTTGGCTGCGATGATACCGGAAGGGCCGGCGCCTGCAGAGGAAGGGGTGTGCGGTCAGCTACCTGTCACCCTATCCCCCGGCGTATGGGGTCTAACCAATGATACAAACAGACTGCGACATCTTGGCCAGCCCACGAGCCTGTGTCACGCAGGAGCGGGTGTCTGTACTGAAGAAGAGGCAGGGCTCAGGCCCAGAATACCGCAAAAAGAACGCGAACCGAGCTAGGCATTTCCTAGCCAATGTGCGGGGTCGTATGAGGATGGAGATACGGTGATGTACGGTTCTGAGCGTCTGATGACGAGAATGAGGACGGTTTAGATAGTCGTGGATGGACACGTGTGAGCTCGACAGTGACGATGATGCAGATGATGTGTTCGGAGAAGAACTGGCATGTGTGTTTGGATGCGTGCACTCCGAATACGGACGGGTATTACATAATGAGCAATCACCGTCACGACTACAACTGCGGTGTAATTTACAGTTGGATAGAGAGGATAGCTCGATTAGCTCTAAGAGGATGAAAGATTTCATGGTGATGGTTTGTTTGTATGAGGAAAGAGGCATACCAAGAAAGATATGTATATATACATACATATACATATATATATAAAGCTGCCGAAAATGGGCAAGAAATGCGCTTTTCCACCTGCAGGGTAGAAGACTTGCATTTTCAGCATCGTCAACACCACCGACCGCATCCAAAAAAGGAAAAATGGCCGGCTTCTAAACTGAGTACGAAGAAAAAAAGGATTACGTCTCATGTATCACCAAATACGCTTACCTGTTGGTGGGTAAAAGTTGGACGTTATCAGTAAACACCCCTGCTCTGTCTGGGCTGATGGAGGAGAGCGGGATGGGATTCGTCTGACGATGTCACGGCCGCAGCTTTCTGATTCCTCCAAGAATTTGGTCACGTGCGCCAATCTATAGCAATCCATTCCATCTTTAGAGGAAACAGATGCATTTCAACTGACATCCTCCAACTGACGTTTCTTGGCTGAAGATGTCTCATGGCTACTCTCACGATCTTTACGACCCATTACGCAGCCTCCACGTGCGTCCTACCGTTCCTCCTTGCTCAGCACCTCCCAGCCCTTCACCCGGATCACCACACTCACCACAACCTCACGAATGGTCGCCGCGAGTCCCCCCAAACGGATCAGCACCTGCCACTGTGACTGTACTCTACTGCTCACTGACATCCTTGATGTCTCGCCGACAAAAAATTGTCCACTTTTTGTCTACCCTGTAGTCAGACCCGGACCGAACGTTACATGACAGCACTAGAGATAACGTCTCTTCACAAAGTGTGGTTTGGTTGTGCGTAATGCTTAGCTATGGTGTAGATGCCTCGTGTCTCTTATAAGAAGAACATGATAGGGGGGGTTAGAGATGATATGACATAAGTAGACTGGGATGACATATCCCGTATGGCACTTCATGGGCCACCCTGCCCAAACTCGATGTATCGAATTCGTCGAATTCGATACAGCGTGAATTCACCATCATAGTCCGGTGACACCGTCTAGTGGCAGCTGGCGAGTTACGCCTGCAGCTGTCAATTTTGCATAACATGTGAGAGGAGAGGCAGGAGTTAAAATCTGATGTCGAGGTGAGTTGCGCCGTCGCCGCCACCACCGCTAGCCGCTCCTTCCACTCTTCACCCTTCACCTTACTCCTTCGTTATTAAAAAGGCCTCGGCTACAGCTCTCCCCCCCCTCCCCCCCCGCCCTCTTGAACAGTGCTCTTGATCTCTCAGCATCTTCCTCTTCACCTCTCCCTGTTAATCAAATCCCCGTCTGGTCAACTGTCGCCAGGCCATCACCGAGTCGACATACCTCCTCCTTCGACATCTCCCACATGGCACTGATCTGGTTGAACGACGAGGAGCGCTCGAACACGGTCGAGAAACTGAAAGGTTGGCTCGATAGAGGTCAACGAGCGTCATCGTTGCGCATGATGAGCAGGTCTCTTGAGCCGGTAGATGTCGTCGTTCCATCTATAAGCTACCTGGGCGAAATGGAGGAACGTCTCCAACTTGCCCGTGATTGTCTAGGCCAAGTCCGCCGGTGTGACTCGGAGCTGGCCGACTACCAGCTCAACTTGATGCAGTTGTCTATCGTCCTAACAATCGACATCCACGACCTACGGTACTTGAGCATATTCCCGGGTTCAGTCCTCTATAGCATCTTGGAACATACCGAGATGTTTCTCAGCGGCGGTAAGTCCCTAGAAGATACGGATGTCAACATTCCAACCGCATTCCACCCGCAAAGAAATCACCCCTTTTTTTCTGACCGACACCACCAGCCCGCGCTAAGACACGGGTACAGGAACCGACACTAGTGACCGACATTAGTGTCGAGGAGCCATCCGAGGATGCATTCACTTCGACACCGGTAGAGGCCGAGCCTTCATCCCGGGCAGCCGAGCGGGCACAATCCGAAAAGCACGCCAAGGGAGGAGCAAGCGGGGGGCCTTCGCCGCCGCCGCCGCCGTCGCGAAGAGCCCAAGGTACCCCTCGAGGCCCTCGGGGAGAGCAGGCGAGGCGTGTGGCCGAAGTGAAGCTGGTATGGTTGAATCCCCAACCTAGTACACCGTTTTGACGTATTAGCGTGAGCAAGAGGCTCGAGCACCACAAGAAGGAGAAGAAGGGGAAAATTTGAGATTGAAATTAACGATACTTAGGTCCGGGAGCGGGACAACCGAGGGTGTGTTGTTACTCACCGTTCGCATCCTGAGGCAGCTCATATCGTTCCGTATGCCATGCTAAATAGCCCTGTCAGAGTGGAAAAGGCACGCACTTTCCTAACGGTTTTCCTTCAGCGGGTGGCGCCCCGATTATCGAGCGAAGTGCACCAGATACTCATTCCTTCAGATCCTCAAACCCGTCAGCCGGTAGTGTCGGGGGGAGATTATGCGTTCAATATGATCTCCTTGAACAAGCACCTCCATTCCTACTGGGATCAGGCCATATTCGGGCTCAAACCAGTCCAAGAGTTAGAGCATCGCTTCTATGGAGACGGAGAAAAGACGAGGTTGGTCCGCGTCGAGTGGCGTTGGATGCCCACGGGCCTCCCCGCGGCGCTGGCCAAGAGTACCCACGTCTTGCCACTTGCCAGGAAGAGCAGGCTAGCCCACTGTCGCCGGAAGGTCGATCTAGACTCGGAAGGGCTTGGGGACTTTCTCTGCTCAGAGCTCCAGAAGACAACCGGGGATGAGGCTCACAGCGGCGACGGCGGCGACGGCGGAGATGTTACCGACTTGCTCGGTCCCGGCCTGCCCATTGAATCCGGGTACCGGTTCGACCTAAGGGTGGCCGCCGCCGACGCATACAAGATGGAGGCGCTGCTGAGATTCCAGTGGCTCTCGATCCAGATGGCGGCCATATCGGGGGCCGCCGAGGTCCAGGAGAGCCTCCGCGATGAGCCCGATGACAGATACAAGGCCATCTACCAGCGCCTAGAGGCCAAGGCTATGAAAGAGGTCCGGGATCAGTCTTCCAGGCTGGGCAGCTGGGGGGATGCAGGAGAATCGAGCGAGGAAGAGGATGGATCAGGACGCTAGAAACGCTTCTCGAAAACCTTGAATCCGTTCCGGAGGGACAAGGGCCGGCGCAAGACGAAGAACAAAGACAAGCAGAGGAGAGGAACGGAGACTTCTGAGCCCGATGCTGCCGGGGGAGACGGCAAGACGGTGGTGGACAAGCCCAGGCATGTCCCATCGCCATCTTCGATGCACATCAAGGGGGCTGTTCGGTCGCTCCGTCTGCGTGGCGGACCCAGAAGCTGATGTTGCAGCATCCAGTTCCTTTGATCTCACCTCTCCCTCCCCCCCCCCCTCTCTCTCCTCTTCTCCCTCCTCTTCTTTTCGCTCACTTCTGCCCGAAGCAACGACTTCCGAGCTATAGGCAGTTGCATGACCCTGATAGTTTTCTCCCGCATTAGTGCGTGTAGCGCCCTGGCGATCAGTAGGCAGATAGAAGATGCCGGGAAAGAATCAAGAGGAAGACCAGCGCCCGCTTCCAAGCGAAACGTGTCGAGATTGTCGAGATACGCGTTCGGGGAATTGACCCAGACGTTGGCCGAAGGCAACTTCGGGTAGCGGCATGTCCTTTAGTCGAGATATCCGGTATGTGTAGATGACTGCGAGTCTGGATGGTTCCCCTCCGTCCGAATCATCATTCGGATTTTTCCAACTCGCCAAAGTGAAAAAGTGATGACAGTGTATGCGGATGATCTGGGCCCAATCTTTGCTATAGAAGTTGTTCATCAAGCCCGTCCATAAAATCTATAATCTTAGAGCTCTTTCCCATACAACTCCATTCATACATGATTATTTTCCATTCCCTCCAGCGCGTCGGCACTTAACTTCTTCCTCTAACAAGCCTCCTTCTCCAGCTCTACCCGCAGCTCCTCGGCCTTGTCCTACTGACCCTGTTCCTTATATTGAACTGAAAGAACGGTCATGGTAGCTGCCGTCTCGTAGTGGTCGAGGCCTAGCGTCCTCTTGCAAGCCTCTATCGCCTCTACCTGTAGCTCCTCGGCCTTGTCGTACTGGCCTAGGTCGCTATATGTATATGCTAAGCTGGTCTTGCTGGCCAGCGTGTCGCGGTGGTCGGGGCCTAGCGTCCTCTTATAAGCCTCCATGACCTCACCCAACCGATGCTGGTACCTATATATAAATGCCAAGTTGGCCTTGACGGTCAGCGTGTCGGGGTGGTCGGGGCCTAAAAGCTCCGTCCTAACTCTTATGCTCGATTGGGCAAGCCTCTTCGCCCTCTGGTATTTTCCAAGGTAGCTGAGATACCCGGGCACATTCGCTAATAGGTGGCTCCAGTATCGGCGGTCGGCATTGCTAGTTGGTTCCGAATTCAGTAGAGGTTGGATATGCGGCAGTAAGTTCTGGCATTCTTTCGGGTTGTAAGAATCCGTTGATGGGGAATTTTCCGAGGCCAACCGGAGGAAAAGGCTTCTCCACCGTCTTTCGTCCCCAGAATTTGACGTCCAGTTCCTTGAGCAAGATTGAACAAGTGGGTGCATGCCCCAGGAGCTAGGTTTCGCTCACGACACGAGCAAGTCACGGGAGAATCGAGATCATCGTCAAGCTGGCCGCTATCTTGCTCGCTTTGAACGCCATCGGGTTCAGTACTCTGACGACGGTCTATATTTGTATAGCCGTACAGTAGATGTTCAGGGATGTCCTCTGGCTGAAACATGCTCATTAAGCATACGAGGTTGGCGGCACTGGGACTCTCCTCGCGAATCTGGTCGAAAGTCATCTGCCAGGTGGCGACGATAGAGTTGGAGACTTCTGGGTATCTTCGAGTATCGCCCCCGTCGTTTTCGAGGAGGCGGAGCCTTCCTCTTTCAGTCTGCTAAGATGCATCCAAGTACGCTCCAATGACGCGACCTCGTCGCTTGCGGATGTATGCTGCTGACCGGGTCACGGCAGGTGGAATATTCCCTAGGGCCTGGATCAAGCTTGGGGCCTCGTCTTCGTCAGAAGATTGGCCTAGCTTGGTTCGGAAGAGTTGCGATGCCTGGGTGCTTGCCATCTCTGGCACGGCCTGGATTCCTTTGCCCTCGACTAGTCTCTCCGCAACGTCGTAGTTGCGTGATGTAACCAAGATTCTGCCGTTTCCGGTGTGGGGTAGGTATGAACCGGGTGACTTTTCGCCGTTGTTCATATGCTGTGGGAGAAACATGTGGCGGTCGTCGGCATTGTCGACGACCATGAGCCACGACGCTATGTCTTCCCTCTGTAGCCATTCCCAGACAAGTGCGAGGATATCGGTGCCTCTTTCATTTCGACGAGGCAATGATAGGATATTTGCGATTTGCTGATACGATTCTCGAAATGTAGCTTCCGTGCTAGCGCGCACCCAGAAGATGCTCGTATCCTTGGAGCGCTCGTGGACCCAATGCGCAAACCTGATGGCAAGTTGCGATTTTCTAGAGTCGTATCAGCGCGGCCCCATCAGAAAACGACCTATGCGCACTTACCCTATCCCGCCTATACCCACAAGTGCCATGCGAACATGCCCAGGGATGTTGTGCTGCTGTATCATCCATTCCATCATGTCGGGCCGATCGATGAAATCGGGGTCATCGGCGAAGCGCAGCATGTAGTGAGGCTTAAGGGCAGCAGACACGTCGTCGGCGGCAGCGTGTTGACTGGTACTCGGCACACCCTGATGGGTCCTATCAAGAAGAGCCCTGTAACGGTCAGCACGCTGCCATCTTGATATTGATAAGAGTTAGACACACGTGTGAGTGGATTGGGTAGCCCTGGTGGCATGGCTGTCTTCGTGGATACCGCGCACGCTCTTCCAAACTATAGACGATTTAGCATAGGAGCTATTGTTACACATGTCCAAGGCACCCACCATCATCAAAAGCCTCCGTCATTCGTTTCTCTTGCTGTACGCTATCGGGCGGGATGCTGAGCAGGAGGTCTCTGGCGTACGCTGCCGCCGTCATGGCCGCATATCCCTGCCAATCCTTGTTCTTGTGCGAGTCGGAATAGTCGCATATACCGCGTATGACGAGACATGGGAAATGGTTCACCAAGCCGGGCGCCTCCATCTCGAAGCAGAGGACTCCCTCCTTGTTGGCTAGCTTGTCTCGAAACTGTGCATTCCTCATGACCGTGTCTGCGCTAGCGATCAGCCCATAGTGTATGGCCGGGTCGTCGTCGTCCGGACATCTTTCTGTCCGTATCTCGAGAGACGCTGGGTCGGATCCACACACAACTGCGCAGTCATCTGGAGATTCTGGCGGGTGAATGACCTCGGGCTTGTATAGCCGATGGCTGATGGTCGGAGGTCGGGCGAAATTATTCCGCTTCCTGATGTTGTCAAGCGCATTCTCGACGTCCAATTTCAGATTATGACCTTTTCCCTCGTGAGTTGCTTTGAGGGAACTGACAGCCGTTAGCAGAAACATCGGCGGCTGGTCGAGGTGTCTTGTTAGTTTAAAGACCCCGTCCTGGACAGCTTTGCCGAAGTCGTATTGGAATATTCCGCTCCTGCCGTTACTAGGGGTGCCGACGACGACGTCGCCTAGTCGGATGTCCTGCTTCTTCGTAGGAGCGCCGCCGCCAATGCCGACCATCAATCCGATGCGTAATTCTCGAAGCTGCGCAGCATGTCCTGGGCGACGGCCGACGCCGAGCCCGTCCCGTATTGTCCTTTCGGAAGCACGGCAACGACAACATTATGGCCGCCCATCTTGCCTAGTGTATAGGTGTTAATGCCTCGCGGCCGGTGTCCGGGAGCTCTGTGTTCCTCATCGAGGAAAGCTTTTGCTGCGACAAGCTCTGTTGATAAGGCTGAGACCCAGCCGACGGTATACTTCCGAGGGTCCGACATGGCTGGGCGTCCTGCTTGGAGAGGGTGAGTCGCGGATGTATTGGTAGGTAGTTTCGGAGATCGATGATGGTGAATCGAGAGATGAAGAGGTCATGGCTACAGCCAGAGCGTCAACAAGCCGGGGCTCGGCCCACGTTATAGTACCCCTCACCTCCTACCGAAAGTGCAAGATCAGGCTTGCCCGGCATACTACCAGAGAAGGAGGCCCAGCCCGATGAATGTGACGCTATAGGTCAATCACTGCATCATGGCTGGCCGTTGCTGCATTCTACCGCCTGCAGTAAGCACCGATGCGACCGAGGCCGCGCCTGGCCAAGGCCTCTCGTATTTGCTGGAAGAGCTGGCGGTCTTGCAGGCCCATGCCGCTCGCAGAGTGGTGTGTACGGGCATCAGCGCAGGATCACTGATGGCAGCGGGAGGGGGCTGACCATCGGCGGCAATCCCGCCTGACGGATGGTCGCCCGGGACAGAACTGCAGAAAGTTCTCAATCATGCCTCTGTTGTCGTAGATCACGAGGTTGAGCTGGGACTGCCAGTCGTCTGGATATTCCATCCAGACCCGAAATTCCTCTCTCCCATCGTCGCTGGCCGATGTCGAGGTTGCTCCTGTACGCTTTGCGCGTGTCGTGGCCTGATGGGGCGGCGGGGGTTGGCCTCGTCTGCAGCAGCGCGAAGCTCACCGGGCGTGATTCAAGTGGTATCCGACAAGTCGCCGTCAGCGGAGGAGTCCTGTTGGACTCGGAGCAGGAGCGGGTCCATGATAGATTGTTGGGTTCAGGAAATAAAGAAGTGTGATCGGGATGGAGAGTGGAGGAGGCGGAAGTAGAGGTAGAGACGGGGTGACCTTTTAGTCTCGACCATCTCAGCCAAGCTCCCGCATTCCGTGCCGGCTCCTACGGGCAATACCAGGTACCGAAAAGAGGGGGAGTACATACCTGCCGCTTGGGAGGTATTACTGGTATTACTACGTGATTCCCTTGGCAGCATGCACTTGCTCGGCGGCGCTGGAACCCGTCGCCTCTGGCGTCCAAAAACAGGTTTCCTGGGCAGCCGTCACGCACACACGTACGTTGGAGCCATCTATCGGTGCATTCCGGAGCTTGGCTGTTGCCGTCTCTTTCTTCTTCAAAAGCATATTACATGTGACATCATACATCACTGCCTACGTCCGAACCTGGCAGCACTCGAATCAGAAATCGAAGCTGAATAGGTCACGTTGACTGTCACTTTCTTTTTTTTTTCTTTTTTTTTTCTTTTTTTTGCTGTCGTTTTATCAGCTTATCTACAGATTACAACAATATTACACAGCAACACCCACGCTTTCCTTGACCATGGCGCCCCACGAAGTCGTCGACGAGGTCGGTACCAAGGCCGACGACAAGGTCGGCAACGCCCCGAAGGAGAGCAGGCGTAACCTGACAGCCCTGGAGGCTATCTCCCAGGGTGCCACCCTCCCTGGCATCCCTACATACCCATCATTCGACCTTCACCGCGCCAGCATCCTCGAGCACATGGCCGCGACCTTCCGCATCTTTGCGCGCAACGGCTACGTCGAGGGCATGGCAGGGCACATCTCCGTACGGGACCCGGAGAACCCCCACACCTTCTGGACGAACCCGCTGGGCAAGGCGTGGCCGCTCCTGGAGGCGTCGGACATGGTGCTGGTCAACTACGCGGGCGAGGCCGTCGGCGGCAACGTGAGCCGCCCGTCCAACGCGGCCGGCTTCCTGATCCACAGCGCGCTGCACAAGGCGCGTCCCGACGTCAACGCGGCCTGCCACGCTCACTCCGTCCACGGAAAGGCCTGGTCGTCCTTTGGCCGGCCCGTCGAGATGCTCAACCAGGACGCCTGCGTGTTCTACGGCGCCGCGCAGGCCGTCTACACCGAATTCGGCGGCGTCGTCTTCAGAGAGGAGGAGGGCAAGAGGCTGGCTGCCGCGCTGGGGCCCGAGGGAAAGGTGCTCACCCTCACGAACCACGGCATCCTCACCGTGGGGGAGACGGTCGACGAGGCCGCCTACCTCTTCACCCTCATGGAGAGGAGCTGCCAGGTCCAGCTCCTCGCCGAGGCTGCGGCCGCCAACGGCATCCCCAAGAGGTACATTGACGATGCCACGGCAAAGTATACGTTCGAGATGACGTCGACACCCGAGAGCCTGTATTGCGAGTTCCAGCCGCAGCTCGAGGTGGACAAGGCCATGATGGCGAGGGGGCAATTTTGGTAGTGTCTCAGGTAGTATGAGTAGGCTCAAACGCTGTGTGCTGAAAATCCCACGATATAAAATGAAGTTTGGAAAAGGTGTAAAAAAAAAAAACAGAAAAGATAAAAAAAAAAGAAAAGAAAAGGGGGGTGTACGAGCATCTGTGTGGACGAGATGGAAGCATGTGGTGGTGACCACGACCATGTCCTCGTAGCCATCTTCATAATGTGTCGTATTGGACCCTCCGACATCAAGAAGCCCACTTCTGTAGCTGGTTCCATGGTCTAACGGTTATGACTGCGGATTCTGATTCCGCCAGCGAGGGTTCGACTCCCTCTGGGACCTTCCTTTTTGCTGTTTCCCTGGATTTTCAGATCCGCCATGGTGAGACTAACAGCGTTATGAGTGACAGTTGCGTCACCATGTCTTCATCTTCTCTTTGCTTCGTCATGGGGAGTCGGGAATCGAGCATGTGGCTGGACGTCTGACTGTTGTCGGTATTATGTATCACGGCACACATACCTTGAACCTGAAACAAAACACACGTTGCAGCAGCACACGTTACAGAGTTATCATAAGCTGACACCTTTTTTTTCTTCTCCACATTGTGCGTCTTGAAAAGGTTCAAGTAAAGACAATAGAATGTAGGAGGGAGGGGGAAATCGCACTCGACACAGCAAGAGAGAAGAGAGAGAAAAGCACGGTGATGAAGAGGTGTACGGGCGAGTAAATGCGTACATGTAATGTGTACTTAGTCGCTGAAGGAGAAACTTCGACTTGGCTTGCAGTGCCCTCGGATGGCTTCTCCCTCTTCCACTTCAATACGGTGAGATGAACGATGAAGAGTGCAGTGAGTTTCAATTCTTCCCATCGTTCAATAGGAAGATACAGCTGCATGGAAATGTCCAATTTGCTGCATATATTACAGATCTACACATCTCCCCCTCCTCGACGCACCTTGCCATGCTTGCTGCCTTGTCCACCACATTCCCCATCACAGGTGGACCGCCAAGTCAGCCGGCGCTCTGACTAGATGATCTACTGATAAAAGCAGAACAGAAACAAAAAAAAGAAGAGAGAGAGAGAGAGAGAGAGCAAAAAGCAAAGGTCACGGTGGGGATCGAACCCACAATCTTCTGATTCGTAGTCAGACGCCTTGCCATTGGGCCACGCGACCATTGAAGAATTGATGATCTGGAGAGCGCTTCACAGCATTCAAGTTCATCCTCTCGGGGGGAGGCACACGCTCTCTCGATCCTGGTACCGAACAATAGTCAGTCCCACCATCTACAGCTACGACTGCGATCCGATCCATTAATCCTGCCCAGGTGCACAGACATGCTAGAGGTGTAGTGATAATACACTGTATGTAGCATACTAATACCACGTTAAAAAAAAAATAAAAAAATAAAAAAATAAAAAGGAAATTTTTTCCATACTGCTCATCTCATATCAGAGACTCTGTTTGCCTCATTCTAGAAATGACCAGCATCCATTTCTCAGCGTTTGTTGGCGAGTCCCACTAACGGAATAATGGTATTGTTATCATTACTTGCTGAATAGATGTAATAGATTGCTGATTCCCGCCTTCTTATCTATTCATCTTCTCAAGTGAAAAGTCTAGGGTGAGCAGCGGCGTTTCTTTCAACGAGGGTTGCTGCATTACATAATCTTCCGTGCCCGACTGTGCATGACGCAAACCTGGGGGAGATCATCCATTTTGAGATGGAATGGTAAAACCCTCGACAGAACAATTGAACACCCACCTCTCGACGACTCCGAACAAACGGCAGAAACCGCGAAATGTCAGCCTCGCTACTCCGGTCACGGCTCCCGAGTCGGACCGCGATGCACGGCCTCTTCCGTCAGGCTGCGACCCGACGGAGCGGCCCCCGGCAGCAACGGCGGTACGCCTCGTCGTCACCGTCGTCGTCGTCGTCAGCAGCATCCGGTCTGAAGCTGACGGCGTACGGCGGGGCGCTGGCAGCGTCGCTGCTGGCGACGTACCTGTACGCGACCGACACGCGGGCGTCGGTGCACGCCTCTGTCATGCCGTGGCTGATCCGCACCGTCTTCTCGGATGCCGAAGACGCACACCACGCGGGCACGGTGGCGCTCAAGGCGCTGTACGAGGCGGGACTGAACCCGCGCGAGCGCGACGGGTCGGTGGCGTCGGCACCCGAGCTGGCGACGACGGTGCTGGGCGACCTGAAGCTCAGCAACCCGATCGCCATATCCGCGGGGCTGGACAAGAACGCCGACATACCCGACGTGCTGTTCGACTTTGGCGCCGGCATGGTCGAGGTGGGCGGGTGCACGGCGCGGCCGCAGGGGGGCAACCCGCGGCCACGCATGTTCCGCGTCGTCGGGCTGGACGGGCTGGTGAACCGGTACGGGCTCAACTCGTGCGGGGCCGACAAGATGGCCATCCGGCTGCGGGACCGGGTGCGGCGGTTCGCTCGCCGGCTGGGCCTCACCGAGTCGGACGTGCTCCAAGGCAGGGCCGGCGTGCCGAGGGGCAGCCTGCGCGACGGGCGCCTGCTGGCCGTCCAGATCGCCAAGAACAAGGACACGGACGGCACCGACGAGAGGGCCGTGGCCGACGACCACGCCTACTGCGTGCGCCGCCTCGCCCCCTACGCCGACGTGCTCGTCGTCAACGTCAGCAGCCCCAACACCCCCGGCCTGCGCGACCTGCAGGCCACCGGGCCGCTGACGCGCCTGCTGGCCACAGTCGTCTCCGAGGCCGCCGCGTCGGCCAAGGCCGGCAACGTCGCGCCCCCCAAGGTCATGGTCAAGGTGTCGCCCGATGAGGACGACGACGATCAGATCGGCGGCATCGTCGCCGCCGTCTCCGACAGCGGCGTCGACGGCGTCATCGTCGGCAACACCACCAAGCGCCGCGATGGCCTCGCCTCCCCTGCCCGGGCCGCCCTGCTCGACCCCCAGGACCGCTCCAACCTCGCGGAGGAGGGCGGCTACTCCGGCCCCGCCATGTTCGACCGCACCCTCAGCCTCGTCGGCAGGTACAGGCAGGCCCTCAAGGCCGACTCCCTCAAGACCGGCGGCCAGGAGAAGGCCATCTTCGCCACCGGCGGCGTCACCGACGGCGAGCAGGCTCTCAAGCTGCTCAATGCCGGCGCCAGCGTCGCCATGGTCTACACTGCCATGGTCTACGGCGGTGCCGGCACCGTCACCAGGATCAAGACGGAGATGCGTGATGCCATCAAGGCCCAGTCATAGCAACGCACACACCATACACCATACGCACACACACACACACACACACACACACGTGAACCAAGCAATTCGTTCCTTTTTTTTTCCTTCTCTTTTTTCTTTGCTAGAGGTCTCTTTTACTTTATTTTTTACAAGGCATATTCTGATTACCCCGTCTCCGTCTCGGTGTCAGATTTCCGGTAAAGCTTCCGTCGGGTCCGCAGCCCTAACCGGTTCAGCTTTGTAGAAGTGTCAGGCAACGATAGGCTTTCCTTTCTTTCCGTACCAGATCATCTGACATGTCACATTCTACTGCTCAAACACAGGATCACCCTCGGCGGCGTCGACGCCCTCCCTGATGACACGCTCAACGGCGGCATCGATGTCTTCGTCCCCATCCGCCAGGTCGAGCCAGGTATTCTTGACGCCCTCGGCAGCGAGCAGGGCGTCTGCCACGCGAGCGACCGACTCGCGGCTCACCAGGCCGGCGGCGTGAGACGACTTGCCCAGCTCGACCTTGCCGGCGGGCTCCAGGGTGAGCTGGCAGGGCCTGAGGTCGATGCCCACGAGGGTGCTGCTCGCCTTCGACACCTGATACAGCACCTCGTCGGCCGAGAGCTTGGCCTGGTAGTAGCGCGCCAGCGGGCCGTGGTTGACCTGCTTGTTGTACTCGTCCCACTCGCCCGCGGGCCACCAGGGGGCGGAGAAGCGGCGGGACCCGTTGTACGACACGAGCAGGAATCGCTTGATGGAGGGGAAGGTGGCGGCCGCGCGGATGAGATGAGAGGCTGCGTCGCGGTCAATCCGGAAAGTCTGTTTTTTTTTTTTTTTTTTTTTTTGGTCAGCGGGTCAATCCTTTTCGGCACTATCCTCTACTCGTTGAAGCCATGCATGTGAAGGAGGTCTTCTTACCCTCTCTGGATCTCCCTTGCCAGCAGCGCCTGAATTACACGGGGTGAGGGATAGGTTAGCTTCTTTCTCGGCGGCGTCTCCGTTCTGGCTGGACTGCTAACTCGCCTGCTGAGAAGGCAATCAGGTCAGGCTTGATCTCCCGCAGAAGCTCGATGGCCTTGTCCTGCGAATCGACGTCCTCGATACTGCTGACCAGGACGTTGAGCTGCCCAGGCTGTCCGGAGCCCAGCTTCTGGATGGTGGGGACCTGCTCCTGCGCACGGATGAGGCTGGTGACGGTCCAGGAACGCTTGAGGAGGAGAGGCGTGAGGTGCTGAGCCACCTTTCCGTGACCGCCGACGACGAGAACGTGAAGAGGGGCCATGATGAAGAAGATGCTTCCGGGGGATGTTGTTGTTGTTGTTGTTGCTGCTGTTGTTGCTGCTGTTGTTGTTGTTGTTGTTGTTGTTGTGGTGGTGGTGGTGGTGGTGATTGTGGGGTAAGCCTTACAGATGAAGTGGAGATGGAGAGGACGATTTATATCTCAGGTGATTGCATCTAACAACCAAGCAAAAAAAAAAGGGGGGGGGGAGAAGGAAAGAGAGAGAGAGGGATGAGGAGTGAAACGAATTGGGCTTCGGATCTTATAATAAAAGATTCAATTCACAATTATTAATACTCTCCTAGAAATCGTACTAGCTCGACGGGAACTACGGCTCGTCCGTGAAGCCATCACGTCACATGTCCGCATGAGAGGCACATTACGCCATCCCGAAACTCCGACCTCCGCAATCGTTAAGAAATCCAGTGTGATGCTGACCGAGTTCTGAGCATAACAAACAAGTTTATTTGAATCAAGCGCTTTTTTTCTTCTTCTTTTGCGGACCTTTTCCTTGGCAATTTGAATCTACGATTTCGTCAAGTCAATCATGTCCTCGGTAGCTTTGTCTGCTCCGTCGCCGTGGATGAGTAAGAGATGCTGAGGTCACAACGCCAAAACAAGGCAGGAACACTTGTGAATATCGAAGATGCTGAGAGTACTGTCGGTGCAGCATGGTTCTGCTAGTACCATGCGGCATATCGCATTACTCTCATCTTCGTCGCTGCAAATGCAGAGAAGAAGCGTCTAATGTCTCATTGCTCCGTGTCCAGCTGTCCAGCTGTCCCTCGGCTTCCACGTGTGTGTGTGAGGGGGAGAGAGAGAGAGAGAGAGATTGACCACCAACCCCCCCGCAGACCCACCCCCACCCCAAACCCCAGACATTGTCTTCCTCTTCTCCACAGACTCCTTGACATCCACTTCACTTATTGTATCGTAAAATACGTCGTCGTACTGTACTTGGCACTTCCAGCTCGACCCTCTGCGAGGTCTCCGGTTAGCTGTACATACACGTAGGACCGACCCCCTCTAGGCTTTCGCAGGATGGCTCCAAGAACGCCGGTGAGGACCGTCATACCGACCGTCATCGCCGACCCCCCCGACACCCCCGAGGACCTATACAGCAGCAACCTGAACTTCTTCCTCCAGACGCCTTGGACCGCCTCCATCATCCGCTCCGACGACGCCGTCCCGCTCATACTCCAATGTCGCAACCCCAAGTCCCCGCTACACGACCAGCTCTTCGGCACCACGTTGCTCCCCGACCAGGCCATCCCCCACATGCTTTCCGTCATGCACCTTGGAGGGCGGGAGCAGCGGAAGCAGCAGCTAGACGACCCGGGGAGGCCCATCCGCTCCGTCTCGACGTTGTACCATGTCGGCCACGGGCTGACGGGCGGACCGGGCGTCCTGCACGGCGGGATGATGACGGCCATGGTGGACGAGGCCATGGGCGCGCTGACCGAGGTCAATTCCGCGCTGGGCAAGACGGCCGAGGCCTTCAACGGGTTCAGCGTCACGGGCGCGCTGGAGGTCAAGTTCCTCAGACCCATCTTCACCGGGACCACCGTCGTCGTCAGGGCCAGACTGGGACGCGTCGAGAGGCGCAAGGCGAGGGTTACGTGCGAGGTCTGTACCGAGCCGGGGGATGTGGCGGCGGTCTGTAGTAGTACTTGGATAGCTACGAGCCCGGCCTTGTGATGGGTCAGACCACGGAGACATGGAGGGATGGAGATGAGATGACTGAGTGAATACCAGAAAGGAGTAAATATCGACTGTAAATCTTGTCCGCCTATGTAGAAGAAGAAGAAGAAGAAGAAGAACAAGAACAAGAAGAAGAACAGGGGGTATGTATGTTGGAGGCAATGGCCGTGCGTGCGCGTCATGAAGAGCATCGCCAATGATGAAATCACACAGAAGAAGAGGAAAAGATATGTCCGCAGATAAAACAAGGTTTCCAACTCTCCTCTCTTCCGAGATCAAGATCCGGCCCCAGCAAGACGAGAGCGGGGAGAGGAGGAAGATCACCTGGAAGTACTCCCCGGCTTCGCAGACCTGATGGGCAGGAACCTCTGCACCGCTTCCTTGGCCTTGCTCGGGTCCTCCAGGACAGCATACGCGGCCTCCCTCTTGCTCAGCTGCTCCGTGTCCCAGTTCTCGCCGCGGTGCTCGAGATGGCTCTCGGCCGAGGACAGGCTGCTGCTGCTGCCGTTGTTCATGACCATGTTGACGATGCGGCCCTCCTGCTTCTTGACGCTGCGCTGCTTGTCCTTGAGCTTGCGCAGCCGGTCGTCGCCGCAGGACATGGCGACGACGCCGAGGCGGGGGAAGTTGCGCTCGAGGAACTGCTTGAGCTCGGGCAGGACCGACTTCTCGGGGCGGTACGTGCCCGACTCGTTGTCGATGATGAGCTGGTAGTAGGCCGGGTCCAGGGGCGGCGGGGACCGGGGGGGGCCGCCGGGAACCGACTTGTCGGGCGGGTGCGTCCTCTCGGCCGGGTCCGGGTCGTCGTTGGAAGGGTGGGGGTGGCGCGTCCGCCGGATGAAGAACTCGCCCGAGTAGGCAATGTACGTCTGCACGTTGGAGTGCATCGTATGCTTGCTCAGCAGGTCGATGCCGAACTCGTGGCCCGTCTCGGTGAAGCGCAGCAGCCCGTCCAGCGTCAGCACGTACGTGAATATGCGCCCGCCCTGGTCGAAGTGCGCCAGGCGGAGGAGCTGCAGCGACGCCTCCTCGGTGCACGGCTCGAACTGGCCCCACTCGGTCGACTTGTCGAAGTTGTAGATGCGCGCGTGCTGCTTGTGCAGGGCCGCGTTGAGCACCTTGCCCCGCAGTCCCGTAGACGTGAACATGGACCCGATGATGGGTCGGAATTCGACGAACCGGTGGTACAGGCGGGGGGGCACCGGACCCTTGAGCTGCATCTCGTTGGCTTGAAAGCTACACACGCACACGTCTCGTCAGCAACGGTCATCCTCGGATATAGGGGGAAGCGAGCAAGCGAGCAGGCAGAGCAGAAGGACGAACGCAAAGAACGGACGGACGGAGAGAGAGGAGAAGGGTGAGAGGGAAGGAGAAGAGGCAGGGAGAAGAGACTGACTCGTATTTCTGAGTCGCCCTGCTGGGCTCGTGACGAGACCCGGGACGTTGACTCTCGGCGGCGGCCTCAGCCTCCTGCTCCTCGTCGGCGTCGACCTTTGTGCCGATGAGCCTGCCGATCATGGGACTGAAGTGCCTGCACCACCTCTGCGGACCGACGGTGTACATCTGGGCGAAGGGGGGGTCGGACTTGCCGAGCATCTCGATGCTCAGGCACAACCTGGGGGTGAGGTCGAAGTTGTGGGTCACGACGCCCGACAGGCCCTTGAACACGAGGGCGCGCTTGCTCATGACGCGCTTCTTGGCCTGCAGCTCCCGCCCGGGTAGGGGGAACTGATCCCACCCCTCGTACAGCCGGGGCACCTTGACGGTGACGTTGCCCAGGCGGTCGTCGGAGTTGGCGTAGTCCTCGTCGTACAGGCGGCACTTGAGGACGAAGCCCGTCGGCGGCACGTTGGCCACGACCCACTGGGCCTCCCACTGCGGGTGCAGCGTCCTGCGCTCGGTCTGGGTGCGCATGGTCAGGTCCGGGTCCTCCTTGTGGCGCCTGGGCTGCGTGCCCTTGAGCGTGGCCGTCAGGTACGGATCCGCCGCGCCCGAGTTGAAGTCGGCAGGCGGCAGGTTCACGGCGTAGTGGAAGGTGAAGCGGAGGGTGTAACCCTGCGGGGCGTCGGGGAGGGGCGTGTCGTCGAAGCCGCCCGGCGGTCCCTTGCGCGTCAGAGATCGCAGCGGGAGGCCCAAGCTGCGCGCCTTGCCATCTTCCTGATCGGCCTCCGCCATGGCGGGGTCGTGGTCGCGGTCGTGGTCGTGCCCCTCTCCTGCTGCTGCTGCTGCTGCTGCTGCTGCTGCCGCCGCCGCCGCCGCCGCCTCCTCTTCGTCCGAGGGATAGTAATGATCTGTGTGGGCGGTGGTGGCGGTGGTGGTGGTTGTGGTGGCTGTGGCGGTTGTGGTGGTTGTGGCACCGGAATCCGGTCGTCCCTTGCTGGTGTGCTGGAGAAGGCCGTTCTTGCCGGAGGGTTCGACAGGCGCTGGCGCTGTTGTCGTCGTCGCTGTCGTCGTCATCATCAGTGGGGTCTGCTTTAGTGGGACGCTTCCTTGCTCAATTCGTATTCATAATAATACCCGTCTTCTCTCTACACATCTCACAGGGATAAGAAAATAATCATAGGGTAAACGGTCAGAGAGAGTAGGAGGGGGAGGGGGAGGGGGGAGGGATGAGGGAGTGGGAAGAAAAGAATGGAGTTTTACACTATATGAGCTTGCGATCTACCAAGCCTCATCACGGCCGTTGCATTTATAAAGAAGCGAGAGCCATAATCAGTCAGACGGGGGGGTTGGAAGGGGGGCGCAAGTGAGAGGGAAAAAAAAAAAAAAGAAGAGGGCTGTGATACGTGGGTGCAAGGGTGTGCTTACGGCTCGAACGGCATCTGATAGCCGTACAAGTAAATGAGGCACGTATTCCATACGTGTAAAGGCTGCAATACGGAGTACTATTGCTGCCATTACTGCCTATTATGTATTTACTACTGCTACTAACTGCTACTACTGCTACTACTGCTACTACTGCTACTACGGATATTACATGCTACCGTTACTCGTGAGTATCAGGTATCTACCGAGCATCATTGCACTACTACTCGTAGTCGGGCTGTTGAGTAATAACATCATCAACTGATACTACCAATGCTACCCGCACCCGTCAGGCCAGCTTCGGGGACAGACAAAAATCCCTTCGCCCATCTTTTCCCGTTTTAAGAAAAATGGGAAAGATGGGCGGTGTAATCTCCGAGCCATACATTCTCAGCGCAGTGAGCAGTCCCATCCGGCCATGTCATAAGTTCTTTCCAACGTTACCGGAGAAGAGACGGTATCTGAGTATGAACTGTGGCGTAGTCCTGTCACGGGGTGCTTGGCTGATTGTCTTTTCTTCTTCTTTCGCTTTCGGCTTTCGTAGTCTCTATTGATCACTGCTGAAAGTGGTAAAGTACGAGCTGTATTGTTACCATCACTAGTTGATACTACGGAATACAGCAGTAAAACGTGCGGGAACACAACACGACAGGGACTATTCTGTACAGGGTAATACTAATGCTGGCGGCAGTAATGATCATTATTACTATGTATCAGTACCTGTAATGCTCCGTATTGCTACTAGCAGTCTTAGGTCTAGCACTTGCCATGACGATACCGGGTAACCATGTCTGCTTCGTCGCTGTGATGACCAGCGTTGACGACGAAGGGGTACGGGAATCATCTGAACGAGATCAAATCAGCGCTCTCTCTCTCTCTTCCTCTGCTCGATCTCGCCCATCAGAGTCCAAAGCCGGAAAACGGGTACGCGGCAGGCCAAGGTCAGCCTTCTTTGTTTCCCCCTCATTCTCAACATATGGAGAATGACGTGTAGACAGGGCCCTGCGAGAGACCCAGTGTTTTTTTTTTCTTTCGTTTTTTTCTTCTTTTCTTTCGTTTTTTGTTTTGGTTTTTTTTGTTTTCCCCGAGTGAAACTGCTGCATATCACATGGCATACGGGCTTTCCCATCAATCCTCGATGGGGTAGAAGCATAAGCATGCCTTGTAGGGCGCAGATATCCGTCTCCATACTCGTACCGGCAGTACAGATCACACTAGGATGCGATAACACACTGCACCGATACGGAGAGCAAGGGGCGTGCAGAGACGAGGGTGGGAAGACACGTAACGCAGGCATGGCATGGTCCCGCGGGTTGGTGATCCTCTGCATCCGAGTCTTGACACATCGTTTCGTGCTTGGGATTCTCGAGTTCCATGTTCGACGGTCGGTGGATGCATCCTGATAGGACGCCGACGCTCAGCCTTCCCACCCGGGAAAAATCACAGATGAGATATTATATACTCTCCGTTCCCGAATCCCGACATTACGCGTACTTCCTGTCCGGATAGCAATGCTGCCGAAAGGTCCGCAGATCATATTCTCCTCGGCACACCCGTCTGACGATCGACTCCGTATTACCGCTGTTCAGATCGATAATAACACTATCATCACCTAGGAAACAAGGTCATGCGAGACGTCCTCGCATCACGTGCAGGCACATCCAATCTTCGTCGCGGCGCAGGGCTGCCTCGAAAGATACACCGCCGTATCCGTACTCTAGATGGTGAGGAGAAGTCTGGCCAGCCGTCGGCGACCTCTTCAGGGCCTAGCCACAGCTGCCAGCATGATCTAGCAGCGCCACGGAGACCTTCTGAACCAACCCCCCCCCCCCCCCCCCCCCCCCCCCCCCCCCCCCGCTATCATTGCTCGGCATCACGGCATCGACGTGGCCGTGCAAGCCACCGCTGAAACGAGCACCGCCACCCTGCACCATGCAACCTGTGCTTCCTGCTGACGACGACACACGATGAAGCCGTAGGCGCGAATATAGTGATCTCTCCTGCCTGCTGGTACACCCTAGGTCGATGAGTGTCTGTCTAATTGCTTTTGATTCTCTATCTGAAAAGGCTATTTATAGATATGAGTATGGGAGAACATCCTCTGCCTGCACAGTCATGCATTGTCGGCTGCCATAAACCCCGCACACACCTCGCACCGTCGCATTCACTCATACATTCTCGACCTTGGCTTCGCCTTCGCATCCTCCATCGAGACAGAGTAGACTATAGTATGCTGTAGCCATTCTGGCATGGATGGCGGATGGCCTCACAAGACTGTAGGTTATCGGTTATTGGTCGATGACTCATCAATAATACTGGCATATGACGGGGCTGGATCTCGCCTAGACTACCTAGTATCAACAATGATACTCCATCTTCTCTCCATCTTTCATCTCTCACATACATACATGTCTACTGTGGCGTAATCTGCTCTGCGCAATGAAGCACTCCGATGCTCGTCATCCTGACTCCCGTCTACAGCATCGTGATACCAGTGCACCTGACGGATGGGTGACCGAGTTCCGCGATGCACTCAGAAGCCGCCATATCCCCCATCTAGAGACCATGGTATCTCATATCTGATCAGACACACCTGAACACGTGTTTCGCTATCGGGGGAGAGCGTATGCCTCCCGAGAGCGAGGAGAAGCCGTGAGGAGCAGCTGTGAGGAGCAGCCTCGCTCTTCATCGGAACCAAGACCGTCCTTCACCTCGTCACAAGCACGCCATAGCGTCCGAGACACGATGCTCGACGGGAACAGCCCATTCGTCCTGTCATGGCCAGGAGACCGATCACCTGACGCTGGACCATGGGCGATCAGTTGCGGTTTACGAGGGACTAGCAGTAGTCTGCTGCCGGAAGCACTCCCAGAGCTTTCCGTCCCAAGTCTTTTATATGTACTGGCAGTCATCACGACTTTGCACAGATATTTCCGTGCATGAATTCGTACGTGTACGTCGACGGCGCCGCACGAATGAGACGAGCTTGTGTGGATCGGAAGTTAATCATTTCACTCATTGGGAACCGAGTGTGCAACAGTTTGCGTCTTTTTATCCGACAAGGTATCATCGCGCGGGGAAGAGACTTGGCAGGACAGAGATTGCCTCTACTTCCAACACAGTTCTGCTGACGGTAGTCGCTGTACGGGAGCTTGCAGAATCGCAGTGGGGTTTGCTGGTGGACAGACCGGGGACCGGATGAGGGGAGCATGGCATTACGTCGTGCGGGACTCCAAGTTGGCAACCGGAGCGCTTGTATCCGCACCGGTAGGATCGTAGTATCTACTGTAACATCACTCAGGGGAAAGGCTCGACGTGGGAAAGAGAGAAGACGAAATGGACAGGAAAGGAAGAGCACAGGAAAAGAGTGATGGGAGGTATTCGAGGGAGGAGAGAAGAAGAGGAGAGGGGAAAAAAAAAAAAGAGTACATGTACATTTGCCCTCCGAGCTTGTCCCTGGGCTTCTTAAAAATGTTCCGTTATAAGTGCCAAGAAGAGGAAGGAACGGAGGACTGGTGTCAGCCAGAGGTGTACCGACTGCCTTGTCTTAGTTGCCTACTGACCCTCCTGTGTTGTACTTGTGCTTGCTGTGCCCCGCCATCGTCATGGTGTCACCAAGTGGAGGCTGATAGAAGGCCCTGAAAAGTTATTGGATATACAAGCTCAAGTCAGAGGTGGTAAAACCCACATCTACTATTGCTCCCCCAGTACTAGAAGAGACAGAAACGGAAACGGACCCCTCTCTCTTCTTCTCCTCTTCTCCTCTTGTTCCTTCTTCTTCTCCTCCTCCTCCTCCTTCTTCCTTTCCTTCTCCACAACTCCAAACTCAATCCCAACCATATACACCATACAACTCATACACGCATACCGTCATCATGGGTGTTAGCAAGACCATCATCAGCGAGGGCAGCGGAGGCTCCCCCAGCCCCGGCGACACCATCACCATGCAGTACACCGGCTGGGTCAAGGACACCAGCAAGCCCGGAAACAAGGGGAAGCAGTACGTTCTCTGCCCCGGATAAGCCCATGGTTTCTCCAACCGACAGCTGACACCCGCGCAGGTTCGACTCGTCCAGGGGCCGCGGCCCCTTCGTCGTCCCCATCGGTATCGGCCACCTTATCAAGGGTACGTCCTCTGCCACTCCTCCGCGCCGTTCTGGTTATGTGTTTCCGTGGCGAATATGGCGCTGACATGCAGCTAGGTTGGGACGAGGGTGTCCCTACCATGAAGCAGGGCGAGAAGGCCCTCCTCGACATCACTCCGTGAGTTCTACACCTTGCCAAGCACCGGAAAGGATGAGAAGCATGACTAATCAATCCGGATATGCAGCGACTTCGCCTACGGCTCCTCGTAAGCTACAACCCCGCATGCATGCCACTTATGAAATGACCTGCGTCCCGGGTGCTAACACATGTGATTACAGTGGCGTGCCCCAGGCTGGCATCCCCCCCAACGCCGACCTCCTCTTGTACGTTTTCATCATCTATCCTGTCTCGAGAATGACGAGAAAGGAAGAGGGAGGAAAGAAAGATGAGATGCTAACAGATTGCCAACACAGTGAGGTCGAGCTCGTCAGCTTCAGGAAGTAAGCTCAGTGCGCGACAAAAAAAAAATAAGAGAGAGAACGTCAATACGACCGATCGACATGGGGGGCATGCAAGATGACGAGCAGTTGTTCGCGAGGCCAACGGGAGGGGAAACCACCACCCAGATGCAGCCGAGAGAAACCCGAATATTGACTGATTTCAAGAAAAAAAAAACCCCTAAAAAAAAAAACTCCTAAGACGGTTCTCCATCTTCTTCGTCGCTCTTCTGCAATACTGTTACCTAGTAGAGTAGCTGCCCCGTTTGCCGACGGCGGCCGGTCGCACCCTTCTGTACCCGTCGTAATAATACCCGTAGGGTGATGTGGGAAAGGCCAGCCATGCTCTCGGTCGGACGGCGGGCAGCGGTCCTAAAAGAGATGCTCTTTTCATGCTACGGACGCCATGGTCGCAATATGCTATTGCTGTGTCAGGTTTCGCATGCTCTCGAGATAGTGCGATGCATGACTACGGGTGGGGACTGGACTCTGCTGTCATCGTAGAAACAAGTCCCGTCAGCTGTTGGGTCACCGCTAACGTGCCTGGGGCAACCGAGCTGGCAATGTAATAATTAGGTACATATTAATATTTGTTACAGAGCAGCAGCAGCAGCACCACCACCGCCGACGCTCAGGCCGTGGACCGATGCCAGACCTCCATGATATCGAGTCGTCATCTTGATATTACCGCGTGGCAGAGGTAGAAGAAGAGAGTCGCTTGTGACCGATTCACTCTTGCTCTGACTGGCGGCTGATCAATGGCCGAGTCGTCGTCCTGCCTCTGCTGCTTATTATTCTTATGGGTTTACTGCTTCCATCATCGAATGGCTTAGAAACTCGTCTCCCGCCCTACCACCAATCAGCAACGTCATAGGAGAGAAACCCTCGCCACCATCCCACCATGTTTGCAGCGCCCACCAGCCTTCTACGGCCTACCGGTATTACTGGTATTACAGGTATTGCAGGAGCGGAGCAGCGCTCTGGTCCATATCATTAGTTGACACACCGTACGCCCTCCACCCCCAATCTTCTGAGCCTCTAGACCTCTGACGGTGACGCTTTCGGGTCTCCGACCCACTGTAACGGCTCAGCCTGCCATTGCTGCCCGCCGATGCCCCTCATCCACCTGCAGGCCTGTGGCTGCTCTGCTCCTGCAATAGCCATCATCACCTGTCCAGCAAACATTACAAACTTTCTCCTTTCTCCTCTTCTTCGACGTTTCCCTATTACGTTGCCCCCATCTCAGAATAAGAGGATACGCAGCAGCAGTTCTGGTGCCTCACCGTCACACACCAGAACTTCGCACATACATAACACGCCCCCGCCCCGCTTCGTTTAACCCCTCCTCTTCTTCTTCCCGACCCAGCAGTCAAGGGCATTCTTTGGTAAAGGTTGAGCTTGACTGGTGGTGCTGGATCGCTCACAGTCGGCCCAACACAGCGCCTCAGATATTGCCTTGCCGTCACTCGACAAGGTGACTCTGGCAAAGCGGAAGCTCTCCAGTGGAGAGAATCATCCACCTCCTAAGAAGACCATGACTGTAAGCTCCCCCCCC